GGGGGGGGGGGGGGGGGGGGGGGGAAGGGATACAAAGCAGCCGCTCTCACGAATGAATGAAGGAATGAGTCCGTGTGACTCACTCACTCCCACACCACTACGGCAACACGTCGTACACAACACACGCACGACCCGCCACACCCCACTCACCCTACCCACCCCCGCCAGCAAGCACCCCTGCACACACACACATACACCCAACAGACACCCATCGCGTGTACCGCCCCTCTGTCAAGACAGGCCTGCCTACCTATTGACCACTGGTTGGGTGTTAGTTAGTTTGTTGGTTAGGCCTTCATCTTGCCGCTGGGCAGGATCTGTCCGGGGACCACGTTGTTCCGCTCGTCGACCTTCTTCTTGATTTCCGCGAGTTCGGCCCAGCGGCCGTCGAGCTTCTGGACGGGCTTGGAGGTGGTCTCAGCGTAGTCCTTGCTGTAGTTGTTGTGGATCCACCACCAGCCGTAGATGTTCGACCCGCAGTACACACCTGATAACATGACATGACATGCAAACGAAAACGAAACGACCATTCGTGTCGGTGCCACTGTGTCAATGTGTCGGTGTGTAGGTCTGCCCACCACCAAAAGACCTGGAGGTGTCTGTGTGTGCCGTGCCTGTGTTTTGTTGGTCTTTGACTTACCATACCAGTGCAGCCCGGTCCAGGGCTCCCCGAAGTAGTGGAAGTCGCTCCATGCCCGCTGCACCCGTCGCGCGGCACGCATGACGAGGTCACCGCCCCGGAGGCGCAGCACCAGGTGGAGCGTCGACTCCTTCTGGATGTTGTAGTCAGACAACGTGCGCCCGTCCTCCAACTGCTTGCCTGCACACAACAAGCAAGGCATGAGACGGGAGGGAGGGCGCCGTGGGCATCTCTGTGTGTGTGTTCGTGTGTCTATGTGTGTGTGGGGTCTGTACCCACCAGCGAAGATGAGTCTCTGCTGGTCGGGCGGGATGCCCTCCTTGTCCTGAATCTTTGCCTTCACCTGCAACACACACACACACACACACACACACAAGCGCTGCCCTGTCCAGTCAATGCCCGCCTGCCTTCTGCCCGTGCAGTCAGACAGACAGACACACAGACAGACAGCTGACATTTTCGATGGTGTCGGAGGGCTCCACATCCAACGTGATAGTCTTGCCCTGCACACACAGCAGAGCACAGCAGAGGTCCCCCCGCGCCCTTTGCAGCCCTCCCCGCCCCCCCACCAGGCATTGCACCCCGCCCTCTCACCGTGAGGGTCTTGACGAAGATCTGCATCACGAGTACCGCACAAGAGCTTCAAAAATCGATGCTACGCCACACCACCGTCCTCGCGCTGCAGCCCTGCAGCCCTGCGCCAACAACTCCCAGCGCGAGCTTACAGCTGAGCGATCGGATACCCAAGTCGAAGAATGGCGTCAGATGGACACAACAAGGCGTTCGTCCACGTGCAGTTGACAGCTGGACCACAAGGAGAGTGAAAACTGCGCTCAACAAGCCCTGATTCGCGAACACCAATTCCTGCTGACGACGCAGAACGGCACACTGAAGGTGAGAGGGAGAGGGGGATGAGCGGTGATCACAAGGGACACACACAGCGGGCAGCAGACGCCTCTGAGCGCACCGGAATCACCTGTGTTCGCTCGTCGTGCTGTGCTGTTTTGGTGTGTGTGCAGTGACTGTCCATACTATCGGTGTGTCGTTTGTGAGTGTGTCGTAGCGCCTGACCCCCGACACCCCACCTCACCTCAACCCCCCCGTCAGCCCTCAGCCGTCGTCGGTCTGTCTGTTTGTATCGATGCATTCGTTGTGTGGCGTCGGCAATGGTGGTGGGTTGTACGAGGAGCTGCACGAGGAGCCGCCCCGGCAGAGCCGCCAGTGGGATGCCGTCCAGGACCTCGACAGATTCCTATCCACTGTGAGCTGAGCCCTTCATGACATGACATGACATGACATGACATGACAACTCAACAATAGCTTAGTCGAATGGTTCATTGATTGTGTGTGTGCGTGTGTGTGTGTGTTCAGTTTTACAAGTATTACGAGGAGAAGGGGTTCGCCTCGATCGTCGCATCGCACGTCACACACCTCGTGTACGCCTCTCACACACACACAGAGATCCAATGCACCCACATGCACGCTCTTCTCTCTCCGTGTGTGTGCGATCATCGCCCTCCCTCCCTGACTGCAGTGCGTTGCTGTTCACGATAGTGTTTTCGTTCTTCCTGCTGGTGTACGTCAACTGGGGTGCGGTGCTCAAGTGCGACTCGGAGGAGACCTGCAGGGAAGTCTCCATCTTCATACAACAACCCTTCGCTACGTAAGAAGGAAGCATCATAAACACACACACACACACACGCAGAGAGAGAGAGAGAGAGAGAGAGCGAGAGACAGAGAGAGAGGGAAACAGGCCGCCACACTCGTTTGTGTGTGTGTGTGTGTGTGTGTCTTTGCAGCATGACGGTGTTGAAGGTGCTGTCGTTGTGTTGTTTCGGGCTGTTCATGCTGTTCTGGTGCCTCAACTGCTACTGGTCCTATCACAACCTCAAAGAGGCACACGACATCTCAATCTACTATCGGGATCGACTCAAAATCCCCTCAGACGTGCGTGGAATCATCCCCTCACACACACCACACCGGAGTGTCATCTCTCATCATGTGTGTGCGTGATGCTGTGTGTGTGTTGGTTGTGTGTGTGTAGGAGGCGCTGAATGCGTTGGATTGGCCGGAGGTGCTGTCCTTGCTGATACGGCAGCAGGACATATCGCCCTTCTGCATCGTCAAGGAACACCTCTCTGCCCTCGGTACATCTCCCCCCCTCCGTCCCTCCCTCCCTCCCATCCCTGTGTGCCGCTTCATGTGTGTGTGGCAATGCAGAGATCACGAACATCATCTTGCGTGAGGACAACTTTCTGGTTGCTTTGACCAACTACCACCTGCTGACGGCACACCTGCCGCCATTCATACCCGCCAGGCTCATGTACACCAAGTATGTGTGTGAGAATATATAAGACAGACCAGACCGAGGGGGCAGGGCAGGGCGAGAGGAGAGAGGAGGGACCGGACCGTGTGATGGTTGGGTTTGTGTCGTGTCCAGGTCTTTACTGTGGAACGTCCGGTTTTGCTTGTTCCAGTGGATATTCGACAGCAGATCCCGCATACGGCCGGAATGCATCAACTTCCCAGACAGGTAGGGTAGGCAGATCATCACGCCATTAGACACACACACTCACACACCAACACACCACATGGGCGTCTGTCTGTCAGGTTGTCGTATCGGTTCCGCTGGATGGCCTTGTGGAACTTGATCCTGCTGTTCCCGGTGCTGCTGTTCGTCACCATCTACTTCTTCCTACGACACGCCGAGGTCACTGAGCCACCCACATCCACACACACACACACACACACGTGTGCCATCCATCTGTGGGCGTCTGTGTCTTGGCTGGCTTCATGTCATGTGTGCAGGATTTCCGGAGCAACAAGAGCATGCCTTTCAAGCGGGAGTTCAACTCGTACGCCGAGTGGACCTTCAGGGAGCTCAACGAGCTGCCACACCAGTTCCAACGGAGGCTGCAGAAGGCCAGGAAAGCAGCCGAGGAGTACGTCAACTCGGGATGGTACGTGATTCGCCCATCCCATCCACCATTCCATGAGTGACGACATCGGTGTGTGTCATGTCATGGAATGGATTCAGGCAATCGCCGGCTCAGGACAGCGTGAAGCGGTGCGTCAAGTACATTGCGGGGTCTTTCCTGGCCGTGCTGGTGGCCATCGCACTCTGGGACGAAACGCCCCTGCTCTTCGTCAAGGTAAGGTCAATCATCCCACCCCAGCGCAGAGAGAGAGAGAGAGAGTGAGTGTGGAGGGATGGCTGGATGCCTGTGTGTGCGGTGATGTGTGTTGTCCACACAGGTGTTTGAGAAGAATTTGCTGTGGTACTTGGCGGTGTTTGGTTTCCTGGTCGCCTTGAGCCACACGCACCAGGACGACAGCAGTGCCGACTCGTCCTTGCTGTCCACCTACCTGGCCACCATGCGGGTGGTGCAGCACACACACTACCTCCCGCCCTCCTGGAGACCCACCACTGGTAGGTACCTACCTGCAACTGCGTCCGTCACACGGACGGCGTCCGTCTGAACCTCTTTCTGTATCTCTCTCCGTGTGTCTGTTTGCTGGGTGTGTGTTTGTATGTGTGTGCAGATGGTGTCGGCCGTGGTGGAGGGTTCAACCTGGGTCTGGCCAAGCTGCACCGGTCCGTGAGGGACAGCTTCTGCGCCGACTTCTACAACTACCGCCTGGCATACCTCCTCGAGGAGATCATGGGCGTCATACTGGCGCCTGTCATCCTCATGATCTGTACGCCGACACACACGCACACACATGGGATGGGTGGTGCTCAAACTCCTGCTGTGGTGTGTGGTGCTGCTTTGTGTTGTGTGTAGGGCTGCCTGCGAGTGCCCCCGAGATCACCAATTTCATCAAGGCCTGCAAATACGAAACGCAGGCACTCGGCGACTGGTACGCACGGACGACGACACACACACACACATGGGGAGGACATGCTTGTCCATTCATCTCGCTCTCTCCCTCTGTGTGTGTGTGTGTCAGGTGTGCCTTTGGTCACTTTGACCTCCGTCGGCACGGCAACGAACTCTACAACGCACCGCCGCCATACCTGCAGCCTCTGCACGCCGTAAGCACAAGCCCACGCACACACATTCCTCCACACCCACAGACCCGCAGACATCTCCCATGCACGCCTGCCTGCCGTCTGTCAGAGCATGAATCGTGCGGTGGGCATGGCCGTCGAGATGGAGATGTCGCAGAGCATCGGCCTACAGGCGGGGCGGGAGAGGGAGAGAGAGAGGGGGAGGCTGTCTCTGTCCCGCGCACACGAGAGGGCGGTGGCGAGCGAGCTGATGTCACCCCTGCGGCCGACCGAGGGCTACCACCTGACGTCACAGCTGGGCAAGCTCGAGAAATCACTGCTCAGCTTCGTGGTAAGCAGATCACACACACAGACGCACACACACAGAGCGCGCACACACACACACACACACACAGAGAGAGAGAGAGAGAGCGTTCCTCGCAATGGCTCTGTGGTGATCAGCTATACTATCGCCTCCCGCCCCCCCACCGCACGTGCACTTCCCTCTTCCCAGCAGCAGCAGCGGCGAGGCACGATGACGACGACCTCATGGTGCAGAGCATGGTGGCGTCCGCCGCTGCAGCCTCGGACACGCTCTATAGCGACGAAAACGAGCCAACACTCGCGCCCACCCCCACCCCACCCCCACAACACTCACAAGAAGAGCAGCACCAAGACGGCGACCATGGCCACCCACACCCCCCCACAGCCCCCCCCACAGCCGCGGACTCCCTCTCCCTCTCCATGTCGGGTGCACACCAACACGCAACGGCATCAGCATCAGCTCGCGAGATCCACCCATTGATGATGCACCATCACCCGCCGCCCCACCCCCCGCCCCCTACAACCGTCAGCCAGTCGGGGTCTTCCGTGCACGCGAGCAACGTCAGCGGCTCGACTACGGCAGGCGTGTGTGAAGGTGATGACGGGATGGGTATTGGTGTGCATGAGGGGGCGGAGGGGCCGGGGGGGCCAGAGTGGCGGATATGGGGGTACGACCACGAGGCAATCAGCTTTCTGCACAGGATTGAGGAGTTCCAGAGGGCCGAGATCAACGCCAACCCCCATCTGCTGCAGGAGGTATGCTTGTGCGCCGGCATGGGGATGGGGATGGGCGGTTGTGGTTGTGGTGGCTCCATTACCTTTCCTTTGCGATATGTTGTTGTGTTTTGTTGTGTGTGTGTTCAGTTGCCGGCTGATTTATTGGTTGACCTGGGCAGCACATGGCAGGGCAGCGAAGCCCACCCGCTGCCTCTGAGGGAGGAGGTCCAGGCCGCATACTTCTTCTGGTCAGCCAGCCCAGCCACACACGAAATCCCCCCTCCCTCCCCGCAAGCCACTCTCACAACACACACACGTCTGTCTGTCTGTCTGTCTGTCTACGCAGGCTTGAGAAGATGTACGAGAAGATGACGGGCCTCCAGATCTACCCATTCTGTGCGGCTTCATCCGTCACAGCTGGCAGGACGCTCCTCCTCCAACACCCACACCACCCGCAACCGCCCCATCAGCCGTCGCCAGCAGACGCAGGCGACTCGTGCGTGCCGGTGCCGATGCAGGAGAGCCTCTTATCGCACTCGGTGCCCCACCTGATGGCCTTGAAGCGGCCGTCCTTCCCCTACTCGACGGCCAACCCCACTTATCTGTCGAGGGCGACTGGGAGCCCTGTGCGGCACGGCTATGGCTATGAGCACCACCACCCGCCATATAGGGGGTGAGGCGGGGTGGGGTGGTGGGGTGACCGATTTGTATCTCTTGTATACTACATGCATACTTATCAAATCAGTCAGTGTCCGTGTAGATGTAGATGTGTGTGGTGTGTGTCCATGTAAGGAAGAGTGTGTGGTATGCTTATGCTGCGCAAAGCGAGTCTGATTGATTTGTAATGCTTGCTGGGAGGGTGGGTGGGGGAGGGCGGGGGCTGTTGTGTTGGTGGGACGGATGGGATGGTCCACCCAGGATCGGCGAAGCTTCTTTTGATCGTACCTTCGCAGGAGTCAGTCAATGATTTTGCTCCCGTCAGATATATTGGCCTTTTTACCTCACTCGCTGCCGTCTGCCGTCTGCCATCGCTTTGTCTGTGTGTGCCTGTCCATTCATCCATTGGTCGTCGGTCGGTCGGTCGGTCGGTCGGTCACACGCACGGAGAGATTATCTGCCTAGCCTTCTAATCTATCCACTTGGCTGCGTCGCATTCATTCATTATTGTGTGCGTGTGCGCATGTAAGATACCCTACACAGATGTACCATACATACCACCCATTGCCTGCTGTCTACCTATATCGAGCAATGCATCCCCCCTCATGCAACTGCTGCCGCTGGTGTCGATAAGGCAGGCCAACGAAGAGGGTCTAGCTTCCTGCCTACCTCCCTGTGTATCTCAGTATCGCTGCTGCTGCTGTGGTCGATTGACTGACTGACTGATTGGCACACTGACTGATTCATCCGTCTGTCTGCCGTGCTTTGAATTGGGAAAGAACCGAATCGACAGAGGACAGAACAACCACTCTAGCTTCTTTCCTTCTTGTGTTGGTTGGTTTGATGTGCTTTTTTGCTACATACATATCTCTGATGCGTTCGTTCATGGTGATGACATTGTGTGTGTCTAGAGGGTAGCGCGCGAAGCTTGCCTTGTCCATCCGTCGGTCGTCTGTGGCTGCATCTGCTCATGTGTATTGCATGCGTCGACATGGGTGCACCGTGCTGTGCTGCGCTGTTCTCCGGCAGTCCAGTCAGCATGAGTCTGCATCCACTGAGTGAGTGAATGAGTGGATGAGTGAATGGATGACAATTGACATGACATCCGTATACGCAGACAGATGTAATCAATGCATGTGCAGCAATGAGTGTCTGTCGCCACCAATTCGTTCCCGCATACACACACACGCGCGCATTCATCTGTCTGCGCACACACGCTTCCACGGATGGGTCCATCGTCATTGTCATATATTGGCATGCAGACATGCAGCCAACAGATACAATGCTCACACAAACAGACACCCAGTCCGCTCGCCTAACCCCGCCCCGCCAAGCAGTCAGCTACTTGTGTGTCTTTCCTTGAAGCCATCCAGCCAGCCACCTGTGTGACTATGGTGCCTGGCCGTCCAGGACGATAGGGGCGATGGGGCCGAGGACACGGCGCGCCTTCGCGGCCGTCAAGGGGAATCGCTGTGCGAAGGGCGCGTCCTGAGGGACACCTGCTGCTGGCGCCTCGCTGGTGAGAATGCTGACGAGCACTGCATGCAGACAAGAGAGGAGCGGATGATCCGACGACACGACAGCATGGATGTGTTGTCACTGTGTATGCGTACCGTCCTGGCTGTTGCCTGGGGGGATGCCGAAGGGAATCCATGAGATGAATGGGTCGTCCGACGTCGTCAACGCATGCAGCTGCACACACCGCCCATTGGCCCCCTCGCACGTCAGCGCTTCCGAGCATCCATTGAGGGGTGTATGTGGCGATCGAGTCATGATGCGGTCGAGGTGGCCACCACGCGCACTCCTGACACACACATCAATAGCGCACCACATAGCGATTTGCCCTCTCATTGAGTGCCGTCCATCCACTTACCGGTCCACCACCACTGCTGGCGACTGGGTGAAGCCGCCCACAGCCAACACACGGTGAACCCGCAGCAGCCTCTTCAACATGGAACTCGCTGACGCGTGAACGTTGTTGGCACCAGCCGCCGTCCAGCCCACACCATGCTGCCACACGATGCTGTGGCGGACTGGCGGGTCGTGTGGCTTGGCGTGGTGGGTGAAGGGGTGCTGCGAGAAGGGATGGGTGGGGCGGCTGGGGAGGGGGAGGGGCGGGTTGGTGGTGATGGCGAAGTTGGGCTGGTTGCGGATGATCCGGATCTCGTTGTTGTGGCGGAACAGCTGGAGAGTGCCGTCCTGCTGGCCGGTGGGGCGACGGAGGGCCACCTGGCGACCGACGACCATCCACTGGGCACAGAAGCGGGGCAGCGATGAGTAGTCCTGCACACACACACATACACGCACCCACATCCAGCAGCTCACCCATTGCCTGTTCTGTGTGTCGTGTTTACCGCTTTGGTGGCGTGTGTCTGCAGATCTTCAGCGCTCACAGTGATGGGCAGCTGGCAATAGCCGCAGTGCTCAGCGAATCTAAGTGCCTCGCCCGCCTCTTTCCACTCGCCCTCACCCCCCTTCTCCACCATCCACATGGCCTTCATCACATCGCCGTGGTCCAGCTGAGTGTCAAACCGCACCACACCACTCAGACCCGCCACCTCGACGGCCTTCGACAGGCGAAAGCGGCGGACGATGGGCCGGAGGGCAGCGGTGATGGGGCGTGCTGTCGAGCTGAAGCGGGCAATGGTGGTGACGTCAGACAGGGCAATGATGATGCGCATGGGCTCGGCGGGCATGTCAGTCACATGCCACCGTTGAGCCTGATGACACACAGGAAGACATGGAGCTGTGTGTCTGGTCTCATGTCGGTGTGTCTGTGTGTTTGCGTCACTCTCTCACCTGTGTGCAGGTATGTGTTGTGAGTGCGATGGTCGAGTACATGCTGTCCGCCAGCTGGGCCAGTCGGGCCGATGCAGCGACGAGATGCCAAATGACGTTGGACATCATCTGGTGAACGAATGAATGCATGAACGAGTGAAGCACAGATGACACAGAGGCCTTTGTGCTGTGATTGTGCGGTGTGTGTGTGCTTGGCAGTCTGCCCGCACCAGTGGTGACACCGCAGCGGTGTCCATCTGAGAAAATCGGTCAATGCAACTGTTGACCTGAGCGTCACACACAAACAACACCAAGCAAGCAATGAGCGATGCACCGAATGAGTGAGTGAGCGAGCGAGTGTGTCGGTTAGGTACATTCGCCTGATTGGTCTGATAGGTTTCTATCCCCGCCAGCAGCTGCTCCCGCATCGCAGCCATCGACGTCTGCAGAGATATTGGCATGACAAACAACACAATCAACGACAGCCCGCCACAGCCGACTGACGCCGTGATCTGCGTGCCTCGCTTGGCTCCTCTTCTCTCACCTGAGCTGCGCTGGCAGCCATCTCGCAGCCACGTCGCGGAAAGCTATGAATCGAATTGCCGTTCCAGGGCGTCAGCAAGCTCTACACGCCTCCTGTCGACGCCTTCCTTCCCTCGCGATTCAAAAAAAGGCGCCTTTAAATGCGTGGTGGTGGTTAAGGGTAAGATTTGCTCCAAATGCTGTCTGCAGTACCGCTGTATCATCGTCCCATCAGCGGCCGTCGTGTGTCAACGCCTTCAAGCACATCAGAATCATCCGAGTGCCCGGCGCTTCGGAATCCTCTCTGGCGAGCGGCGAGTGATGATGGCCTTTCGGATGGCGAAGCGCTGTCTGAAGGCGAAGTGCACCCATCGCAGGTCAGCCATCCATCCAAGCCTTCCATCTGAATGCATCGAGGATGATGGTATGTGTTGTTTCTTTCTTCTCGTGCAGCTGAGAGGTGCATTAGAGTCCACTTGCAGTGGGTGCCGTGCTGCCGGTGAGGAGGCGGCTCCATCACATAGAGTTGACCGCACTGTCGTCCCTCTTAGAAGAGTCAAAGCGGTGAGACCACCATGCAATGCAATGCAATATACTTAAGACAATGCATCCATCACTCTGTCCTGTGCTGTGGTCTCCTATGCGCTGTTCGGCTCGTTCAGAATGTCCCGCCGCCTGTCCGAAAGGTACGGGACCAAGGCAGACAGACACTAGCCTGCCTGCCTCATTGCATCATGTGTCGTCTTGTCATTCATCAATTGCGCTTTGTAGGCACGGCCCAAGCCCCCCTCCCCTCCCTCCCCGCCGCCTCCCCCCTCCCCGCCGCCGCCCTACGCTGCACTCCCACCGCCAGAACCAGTCATCCCCACACCCCCACCAGCCATCCCACAGCCGGCCCCATCAGTCCCACCCGCCCTGCCGCCCCTGACACCGCCAGATGACTTCCTGGGCAGCTTCAAGAGCGCCCTTCGGAAGCTGGAGGGGGCGCTGGCGAGTTCTGTGGAGAACCAGGCGGAGGTGCAGCAGAGTGTGTGGGATCAGCTGGAGAGGGCCACTCGTCGGGAGGCGGCCGTTGAGGAGGCCAGGAGGATAGCTGAGGAGAGATGCAATCACATGCAGGCAAAGTGAGCAACTTCAGCAGGAATGACGCACCACAGACTTGCTGCTGTCGCCCTATCATATTCTCAGGCTGACAGAGGCGGAGAGGGTGCGTCAGGAGCAGGCCGAGAGCCATCGCATCGAGATGGAGGCTGCAGCTGCCGACAACAGGCGGCTGACAGACGAGTGCCAGCAGACGAGGGAGAAATATGAGGCCACCAAGAAGGACCTGGGCAGACTGCAGCGAGTGCTCGACTGCCAAGTGGCACACTGTGTGAGTTGAGGCGAGTCGAGGCAGCCCGGATGCAACACACACAACACACTCACATGGTCTGCAGCCTGTGCTGTGTGCGACCTCAGCACGAGATAGAGGAGGCGTGTCGCATGGAGAGGGAGGAGCTGCGCACACGAATGGCAGACGCACTGCACAAACAGGTAGGCAGACCAGCCCCAAACACACACACACACGGACAACGGATGGCTGCATGCCTCCATTGCAGGCTCGTGAGCTCGAGCAGCACTCTCGCCAGCAGATGGCCGCCTTCAAGGCAGAGCTAGAGGCGATGAGGGATGCCCATCGGCAGCTACAGGGGCGGCTGGACCGCGAGCAGCGGGATCGACAAATGGCCGAGGCGGCGGCCACGCGTGCGATGGACGAGAAGCTGAGGGCGGAGGCTGAGGTGGTCGCACACCAGAGGGAACACCAGACACTCAAAAATGAGATCGCTCTGCAGGTGGCTGGAAGAGAGGGAGGGAGAGAGGCACCAACATACACACATAGACAAGTGTGTGTGTGTGTGTGTGTGTGCGTGTGTTGAATGTAGGTGGCTGAGCGCCGTGCCACTCTTGAGTCGGCCGAGCGGGCCATTAGTGCACACCAGCAGAAAATAGCCCAGATGGAGCCCGAGCACACCTCCCTCCGCGCCCTCCTCGCCGACGCCCTGGCCAGGCTGGAGGCCGCCACTCACCACCCCCCTTTGCCAGCACTCACATGCCCATCATTCGCCCTCCCAACACCCCCCAAGACACCATTGCTGGCTGCCGAGGCCCCTGCAACACGCCTGACACACCACCCACCACACAGAGACAGGGGCATTGAGCGCGACGCAGGGCTTGACCACGAGGCCAAGCGAGTGCGGGTTGACCTGGCGGAGGTCGGCACTGAGGTGACGCGGTTACAGAGAGTGCGGCAAGAGAGGGCGGCTGATGCAGCTGCAGTAGGCGAGAAGGGGGCTGTCGATGTGGCTGAGCGTCCGTCGTCGTCTTCATCGTGTTTGGAGGGCATGGTTGGGGAGGACCGGGATTGGTCGGGACTTGACGAGATCGGCAGGCAGGAGGTGACTGAGGGAGTGGAGGACCCATGGCCGTGTTCACTTTTATGGCTCCATTTTTCTCTTCTGTGGCGCAGGTCGATTCCCTACTGGACCTGTCGAACATGTCAATAATGGCGGCGGAAAAAGACAGCGAGAGCGCTGCTGCGCATTGAGTGGCCGATATATGGCTTGACGAGACTCACTGGTTCACGGACCATCGGCCCATGGATGATACATACAGTACAATACTTTCTTTCGTAAAATGTGTATTATGTACAAGAGCACAAGACCGCTTGCTCGTCTGTCTGTCTGTCTGTCTGTTGCTGGGTCTCTCACTGCACATGTACATCACACCACACCCATACACAGATGGGCTCCCTCGCTCAAGAAAATGTCTCCACGTGACGCCATCCATCCATCCATCCAACCTCAACTCAGGAAAAAACATCTCGGTGGCATGTCCATTCTTCCACACTCGCTGCCCCCTGCCGCTTCATCCTGCCTGGTCTTCATCTTGTACGCGTCGTCGTCCTCCCCCTGATGTCGGTGCGGCACTGATCCATGCCGATACAGACAGCTGAACAAGAACCACGTCGAAACAAGGGGAAGAGCGAGACGGGGGAAGGGGGGGCAGAGGGCACTCATGAGTATCCTCAGATCATGTCAGCCACCACCAGCCGCTGCCGCAGAGTGTTCTGACGGTTGATCTGAACCTGATATATATGTGTGTGTGCAAGGAGCGATCCAGTCGTCCATCCATGTGTTTCTCTTCAAATACCCTACTTACTTGGAGTTCCTGATATTCGGGTGAGTTCCGGAAGAGCAAAAAGCAAGAATGCTCCAGATACTGCAACGCCGCACGCTGCATGCGCCACGTCAGCCAGCCACACATACATACACACACACACAGAAGTGACACACCCCAATGAATTCAATGCATGGATTGCATTACAGACGCATAAGCTTTTTTGATTCCGCCTACCTACCTGCGGCGCCTCCAGGTTTCTGCAGAAGTCCATGTAGGTCCTCCCCTCTCCCCCGCCCCCATCCTCCCACACCCACCCACCGTCCGGGGCAAAGGCCAGCCGATATGTGGGCTCTTCACACAGATACGTCCCCCACAGCCACTCACACGTCTGCACCGCCTCCAGGGACGCCGGGCCGCACGTAGGGGGCGTCAGCCGCGCCAATGACGCCGGCTGCGAGGACGATGCCGAGTAGGGCGAGGGGGTGTATGGGGCGGTGGAGTGGGGGTGGGGCGGGAGTGTGTATGACGGTGAGTGGAGGGGAAAGGGGGGTTTGAGGGAGGTGCGGAGGTTCTCGACGCCCATCCAGAAGTACAGGGCATGCTCGTCCAGGTCGGGGGACCGACGCAAAAACCTGGACGAGGCGGGCGGTTGTGGGGATGGGATGTGTTGGATGTGTGTGTGTGTGTGTGTGTACCTGCCGAAGAACTCTAGGCACAGAGGGTCCAGCAGCACTGCCTCGAGCCGCTCGGCGCTCACACTCGATGACCACGTAAGCACGGGGGGAGCACGAATCGACTGCCACGCTGCACACACACACACACACACACACACACATGGAGAGAGAGATGCAGATGTGTGCCGGGCCCGCCCGTGGTTCGCTTGGTAACCCACCTGGCCACACGGCACTGAGCCCAAGGCATGTGACGGACCTGCCGATGACGGCCGCCAGGAAGATGCCCCACTCCACGGCCGTCCTGTCGCGCCGCCCGCCCCACGGATCATAATACAGCGCACACACGACGCCCCCTGCCACGAGCGAGACACTCAGCACCCCCACCATCTCCCACTGGATCGAGAACTCGTCCTGGATGCGCCGCACGATGCACACGCCGATCAGCATGGCCACCACCTCGATCACGTGCACGGCGATCCACAGCCAGTCCGCCCACATGTGGCCGTGCGGCACGGGCACGGGGGCGGTCGGCGGAGTGGACATGAGGAAGATCATGAAGAACAACGCCAAAAACAGGCAGAGAGAGAGAAGCAGGATCACGATCAACCGCCGCTCCGTCGCGCGCCGGAAGCGACGCGCGAAGAGGTCGTCGGCTGCGAAGGACGGGAGGAAGGCCTCCGTGACGTGAGATGGGGTGTTGACGTGGCCCGTCCCGTCATTAGTCGCCACAGAGCCGTCAGAGAGCGGCGCAGCTGGGGGCTGGTAAGCCGATACGACCTCCCTCTCCCTCTGCCCCCTTTCACCATTGGCGCGCTGCTTGACGTTCCGGAAGACAAAGGCCAGCCGATAGCATCGCAGAAAGTATGGAAGGAAGAAGAGCGGGTGTCCGAGGGTGAGCAGTGTGTTCTGCGTGAAGACGACCCACCCATCGTCGGCCAGGGGCGTGTTGGCGATGGCGTACTCGATGATGGCCCATGTGGCCAGCAGGAAGCCGCCCAGCGTGGAGAACATGACGAGTATGGGGCTGCGGCTCTTGACGGGCTGTTGCTTCCGGCGGTGGATGAAGAGCATGGCTGACAGCAGGTAGAGGAGCAACACGAGCATCCAGGTGCCGAGCGAGACCCATTGGCAGAAGGACAGCCCCATCAAACCAGATGGCTAGACGCAATTGACGTCGGTCACGTGATTCAGAAGGGAGAACGAATAAGTAAGATGATAGGATGAATTCAAAATGGTCAAAACGGGACGATACTAGTTGCTGCTGTCGTGCGCTGCCGACGGGTCATCTGTGATGCATCAGCAAGTGCCGACCGGAAGTGAAGACGACGGGATTGACAGATCACAAGCGAAGATAAAGAGAACACGCTCGCTTTCTTCTCCTCTTTCTCCCTCCTTTTCTCCCTTCTTGGTTGCGAGCTTCGAGCCCGCTTCGATCCGAGGGCAGCGCTCGTTGGACCTTGGCGGTGGCACGGAGCGCTGCTGGAGGACGTGCAGGGCAAGTACTCGTGAAGCCCGCCCGTCGAGAGCACCCTTCAGCATTATCGGTGTGCATCCCGCGCATCCACGAAGCGTTTGTCACCATCGCAACCACAGATTGTCGCCACAGCTGCCCCAACACTCGACTGACAAGCCGACCGCCAAGAGCAGACAGCCGGATTCGAGTGCATTCAGCATCATCTGCCCGTCCCATTTCGTCCTGATGCGTTCTGATGGCGGTATTATCGGCCTTGGTGTGCCCGGCGGTTGAATAGCGAGGTCTGCGGCTTCGTGATCATTATGTCCGGGGGCGCACTCGGGCGGAGCGCTGGCGGCGATGATCAGAAGGAGGAGGATGATACGTGGCCCCGGCTGCAGCCTGCCAACACTAGTAGCAAGCACCAGGTGGGTTAGGTGGGTTAAAGACCTGCACTGACTGCATTGCATGTGCCTGGCTGGCCTGCACGAGTGAGTGGTCGAGATAGGCAGTCTGACGTACGTATGCTTGATATGTCTTTTATGTCTGATTGATGTTTTGTGTGTGTCACGTCACACACAGGTTGATCACACTCCTGTTGCACCCACCACGCGCAGGACAGAGGGCGACAGCCGGCGCCGCACCGACGACTCGTCAGAGCACCACCGCTCCCCCGCCAAGCGGTCATCCTATGGCGGCGGGTCGCCTGACGACGGCAACGGTACGCCATATCGACGAGGGGGCGGCGGGTTCACCCACCATCATCATCATGCGGCCACGCGCCGGTCTGGATATGGATTGGTCGGGCGGAGAGGGGGAGGGGGAGCTGGAGGGGGGTATACGAGCCCTAGGAGGTTTCGCGGGCGGAGATTTTCTGGCGGGGCCCAGCCAAAAGGTCAGGGAGAAGGAGAGAGAGGGAGAGAGGGAGGGAGGGAGGGAGGGAGGGAGGGAGGTCGGCATGGATCATGAGTGTGTGATTGACGTGCGTGCATTTATGGTCATTTCAGAGTTGGATGAGCATCGTCTGTTACAGCGCGGCCGGCAGATTGAGATTGGGAAGGTGAGCGAGCCAAGACTCAATCAATACACAACCACGGGCCATCAGGATTGTATGGCTTTCCTGCACTTCACTGCACGTATGCGGTGGGTGCGGCACTCATTCGTGTGCTCGTGTCGGTGTGTGTGTGTGTGTGTGTGTGTGTCTGTCCTGCAGGACACGGAGGGGTATCGTCAGTACAGTGCCCATGTGCCTAAGGACCGCCGCAAGCCCCACTGGAGCGACAGTCTGCACCCACAAACACCCAACATACACGAGGTATACAGAGAGAGATACATACATGGATGGATGGATGGATGGATAAGTACGTATGTCTGTGGACACACCACACCACACCACACTCTCTCCTGCGTGTGTCCGCCCTTTCTCATGTGCACTGCAGTGCTGTCCCAAGCGTCATTTTGACAGCCGTGTGCGACTGTGGCGCAGACAGCTACACCTCTGGGACGAGGTACGCGACCAAATGACGGAACACTCACCCCATCCACCACACATACCGCTTTGCTTTTGTCTGCCCTTCTTGGTCAGGGCGAGCCCAACCTGACCCCGGCCGAGGGCGCACGCCAGGCGAGGCGTCGCAACACCCCCGTGCTGGGCCGCCTGCCGGTGTCCTCATCCAGTGCGGCCGACTCACGACACCAGCCCTCCATCGATGACGACCAGCTCGATGAGGACGAACACGACAAGGATGCCGATGGGTGGGATGATGACATTGACGGCGACGGCGAGGCAGAGGGGGAGGGAGAGGTGGAGGTGGAGGTGGGTCTGGACCACCCGCACCAGTGGACGGATGGGAACGGCAGCAACCAACAGCCGCAAGCGTCCACCCCTTCCGCGTCGTTCTCCGGCTTCTGCACGGGTGACTCGCGTCACGCCTGGCCCTTCCTGCTCAGTCCGCTGCCCGTCAACGGCAGAGACCCATCGCACCAGACCAACGCAGAGGAAGCAAAACAGGAGGGGGGCGCGCGGACAGGCGAGCATGAGCATGCGTCATCGAGTGCGTCGATTCCCGACGCTGGGGTGCGGCTGCCGCTGCCGCCTGCGGTTGGTGGTATGGCGCCTGCTCGGCCCGGCTCGCGTGGGTCCAGGAATGGGGCCGGTGTGGGTGTGGGTGAGGAGGATGCCCTGCTGGCCGAGATCTTCGGACATGTAAGAGCAAAGAAGGGTGGCTAGATGGATGGATGGATGGCTGGCTGGATGGATGGAGGTGTGCACTGTCGGCGTGTGTGTGTCGGGTATCATCAGGCGTCAGAGGAGCTTCGTTTGGACATGTTGCGTCACGATGATGATGACGATGGCCACCGTGAGGGAGACCAGGACCACGACACACCGCTGGCAGTCCCTGCCGACCCACCAGCACTGTCGCAGACATCACCTACCGCCGAGAACGACCCCACGCCAACCGTTGTCGGCCCATTCCAGCTGCCGATACAGGACCACCAACACCAGCACCATCAGCAGCAGCAGGAGGGAGAGGGAGGGGGACGGGGAGGGGGAGAGGGGGACGACACGCCCCGCTCACCACCACTCCGGGCCCTCACTGACCTGCAGGCCTATCTGCGGCTGCATCTCGACGCGTTCACGCCGCCCAACCGCTCACCGCCCTCACCCATTCCTGAGGAGGAAACCGCTGAACAACAGATGCAGACGCAGATGCGGGCCAAGGGGGGAGGGGCTGGAGGGGGCGCTGGGGGTGGTCTGTACACATCTTCACGCGCCGAGACAGTCTACACCACACCGCGCATCGACCTTGACAGCGAGACGGCGTTCCCCCCGCTGCAGCAGGGCAAACAGCAGCATCATCACCATCGACGGGCGGCAGACGGCAGTGCGCATCATGGTGGCGGTGGTGTGGTGACGCCCGGTGCCAAGGAGGTGCGGGAGGAGCGGTCGAGGATTGAGGGTGTGCTGCGGGAGGGGGTGGCCAAGCTGCACAAGGCTGTCGAGCAAGTCGAGGCATACGTGTAAGAAATGGAAGGAATGGAAACAAACCACATGAGGTCAATGGCCTCCGTGCACTGCAGTGAGGTCGTTACATCTCGTGACAAGCGGCACCGATCGGACGTGGCGCGGCTGCAGGCCGTCCAGCAACACAAGTAAGTGATACACGCACACACACACACACAGGCCCGCAGACGAATATCTTTCTGTACCCATTTTCTCTGTGTCAGTCGGGTGCTGTCATCGGAGCTAGCCCAGGAGAGGGCGGCGCACGTACATCAGAGGCAGCAGCACGAGTGAGCAAACCAAGCAGCCGTCCGTCCATCCATCCATCCGTGTGTCTGATTCCTCTGTCTGCGTGTCTGTGCGTTGGTGCACAGGGAGGAGAGTGAGGGCCTCCGCCGCGTGCTGGTGCGCTCGACAGAGGAAATCGAAACACTCAGACGGACAATGTGTGTGAGCGAGAGCGACGGGAAAAGGGATGCACTTACCGACGGGGCATCGACACACGTGTCCCTTCTGTCCGTGTGTCAGAGTTGATCACGATGCTCAGCTTCGTCACGCCGAGGCCCTGCTGGCCGCCAAGGACAACGAACTGAGGCAGATACAAAGCGAGTGAGCCCCACACCCTCCCGCACGCCGACAAACACAGCACAGCAAAGCAGGAGTGCATGCCTTGTGTCCGTCTGTGTGGATTGGATGGATGTGTGCAGGTTGAACCCTAGCGCGTTGCAGTCTTTGCCTGACGACGCGTTGGGTGCCCTCTATCGCAGCGTGCAGGCCCTGCACCAGCAGAGCCACCGCAATATGCAGACCATTCAGGCCATACTCTTGGCCAGACGGCAACCGGCGGGGTATGGCCATCGTATACCACAAGGGGGTGGGTGAGTAGTGAGTAGATTGAATTGAATGTGCACACACAGACACACAGGGGGTGGGGGTGGGGGTGGGGGTGGGAGGGAGAAAGGGAGGGAGGGATTCGTGCATGTCGCTTGCATGCTGGTCTTCTGTCTGTCTGTCTGTGTGTGTGCATGTGTGTGTTTATTACATGCATACTTATATAGTTCCATACATACGTTGTGCGTGTATGAATACCGATCGACGAATGTTGTCTGCCCGTTTGTCCGTTTTGTCAATCAACGTACGTGACATGATTGATTAGTCGGCATTCGCTGCATGAATGAGTGCGTGTCAGCCGTCCGTCTATACCCAATCGCTGATCTGCGTGTCTGTGTGTGTATATGCAGAAGAGAGGAGGGAAGGGGAGGAGAGGGGAGGGGGGGGGGGGGGG